AAAAATGGTCGAGCAACTCGCCTTGAGTGCTATCAAAGATTCCTGCAGATTACCGGGCTTCCGATGTGATCAATTTTAATGACAAAGAAGGGTGTATGATTAAAGTCTTAGGAATCCGATGGGATCCCATCAATAACATTTTGGGGTTTGACGTCCACCCGGTGTCCAAGGCTGTCACTAAACGATCTGTGTTATCCACCATTGAGACAATCTTCGATCCGATCGGATTCTTTGCTCCAGTAATTTTTCATTCAAAACACATTTGGAAAGCAGAACAGGGATGGGACGATCCTTTACCAGCAGATCTAGTTCATACCTGGAAACTCTTTCTCAAAGACCTTCCAGTATTGTCAAAGGTCGAGATTCCTCGGATTTTATGGATAACTCTTAAGTCCAACATGCAACTTTGTGGATTTTGAGATGTTGCCTGGATGCGTCGCTTCTTAGGTCGAGCCAAAAACGAAATTGTTATTTTGTTGTTATTCCAAAACGAACTACTGTAGATACATGAAAATTTTACTGAATGTTTATATTTTCATTTTCTGTACGACTGAATACCATAAATTGATGAAAATATTTTGATCCTTTTTGAGTTGTTTACGGACATTGTCAGTTATCATTTAAGTTTTTTTCTATAAATATCAATACAATTTTATTTGTTGGGTAAAAAAGCGTGAAAATTTAATGCAAGGCTCCTAAAATATTGTTACAATAGCAGTTGAAAAATGTCAAAAATACATAGGTACAATTTTAATTTATAAGCACTTAAGGATCGAATTTTGACAAATTTTATCAAATTCTAAATGCAATAATTTATAAAATTTTCAACTTTTTTAGCTAAAGATTGAGAATTTAAAACAAGATTCCACGTAAATAGCTTATATATAAATTACTTTATTCACCTTAATATCATCAAATATACTTAGTAATATCATAGACCGACTGACCGTTTTCGCTCAGAATCGTTTTTCTTATACAATTATTATTTATATAATATTTTATATTAGAATCTACAATTAATTTTTTAATGTGCTTACTTAAAAGAAAAAATCTTTTACTAGGTCTCAACATTTCAACAGCATAAACAGCAAATTTAATTTGGTTTGCTTGAAGACATTTTTTTTTTTTATAAAAATATACAAACTTATGAATAATCTTGTATTACATTTTCAATACTTAGTTTTAAAAATAAAAAAATTTATTAATTTCTAACTCAAAATATCTAACTCAATTTTCGTAATTTTTACTTATTTTGTCAATATTTGAACTTTGAATAATTATAAAAAAATATTGTGACCATGGATATTTGATTTTTTTAATCTGCCTTTGAAACAATAATATACTAGGAGCCTTCTATTAAATTTCTTTTAAAATCTAAAACACACATCATTGTAAAATCAATACACTCAGAATCTAAGATGGGCAAATTATTTTGAGTTAGAAATTCAAATTAGAAAATAATACAAACATATTGAAATTATTAACTATCGTTTATGTTAATCTCTAATGGATCCATTTGTTATTTTTAAATTAATTATAAATTATGCTTACACACAAATTTGTATTGTGTGTCGTAAAAACTCCAATATGGTTGTTGGTTATGTTTTAGCACTCACATAAATGCAATAGTTAATAGAGCACTTAAAGTCCTCGGGTTCATCATACGTAATACAAAACTATTTAAGTCGGTCGGATGCCTTTGTACATTATACTATGCCCTGGTTCGCTCTCTCCTAGAGTTTGGATCAGTGGTCTGGCAACCGTATTTAGCCAAAGACCAGCTACGACTTGAACGTGTCCAAAATAAATTTCTTAACTTTATTGCCTTCAAAATGAAAATTTATCACGAAAATCATGATTATTCCAACATAAGGCAAGTTTTGAACATCCCCACTCTTTCCTCTCGTCGTGCTAAAGCAGACTTAAACTTCCTAAACTCAATTCTAAGTGGTTCTTTAGACGTTCCTGATCTCCTTGCAGCCATCCCATTCAGAGTTCCTTCGCATTCTTCCAGAAACCAATCACAATTTTACGTCCCAACCCACAAGACCTCCTATGGGCACAACCACACTCTACACCGCATGCTCAGATTTGCAAACAATCAATAATCCTTAGGCCACGAATTATACTATTTATCTATATTATAACATGTAAACTGTGAATTATTTATACTTTTATCAAAATTATTTCTGTATCTAATTTAACTATTTATGTATTCTACCGTACTGTACTTATACCATATTTGTTACACTATATAAAATTGCCGTTTTGGCGTTTAATAAACAATAAACAATATGTTGTCATAAACATATTTGAATTGTTTTTCCTTCGCTTGGCCAGATTTCGTAACGCATTTTCTTCTATAACTATCCCTGAATGATTTACATTTTTTTTGTAACTCCTGGACTGTGTAAATATTGATTTAATTTTAATATAACGATTCATTAATTATTATTTAAATTAAATAGTTTTTAACTTTTTAATAAGTATTCTTTTTAATTAAATATTCTTTTTATATTATAATATAACCTATTATATATATTTTTGAAATTATTTGAGTTATTGTACTTAGATATTTGTCGAGTGGGACCAATTTCTCTGCGCTTCATTTTGATTTTCTGAGGGGTGTGTCAACAATAGCAAAAATCATACAAGAAACATGCGAAGCGATATGGACACATTTATAACCCATAGAAATGGCTGCTCCAACAGAAGAAGATTGGCTAAGAATATCAGAAGGGTTTTACACTAATTCTCAAACAGTGGCGTCATTTGTTGTGGTGGCAAGATGGGCATTCGCGCCCCCCCCCCTAGTCATTAGCGGGCCACTGGCGGGGGGCATATGTAAACTCCCCTACATTTTTGTAAATTCCCCTAAAACTATTTTGCTACTGTATTACGCTTACGTAAATTCCCCTAAAAACATTTTGCAACCGTATTACGCTTACGTAAATTCCCCTAAAAACATTTTACTGTTTAAACATAGGTACCTACCTATTTAATTATTAAAATGTCAACATCGCAAGGGCATAATTATGATTAAATATTATGATATTATGATAAAATATTTGCTGAGATATTAATATAAGATATAATATAATATATAATATATAGATATTAATAATAAGTTAAAAAGACGGCCACAATTAAAACAACTAAAACAAAATTATAAAGATCAAAAAATAACTAAATTTCATTATATAAAAACAATCAAAAAATAATCAACATCAACAATATCTACAATCAACACTTAATAATTTTAATAAAACTAGAATGACGATGAATATGAATTTTTCTAAAGAGTTTAATTTTTCTATAAAGAAAAAAAAATATTTTTGGAGGATAACTGGAACCGCCTCCACGTGATGTCCTCTGGGATTGCTCTAAATGGTTCTAATTTTATTTAGGGGAGTTTACGTAAGCGTAATACGGTAGTAAAATGTTTTTAGGGGAGTTTACATTAGCGTAATACGGTAGCAAAATGATTTTAGGGGAGTTTACTATTAGGGGAATTTACTATTTAATTTTTTAGGGGAGTTTACATTTGCCCCTGGCGGGCTACTAACGGGCCGGTTTAATGTTATCAGTTTATCACAGAACAAAAGATTGGATGTTATCTATTTTAATTTTTATATTTGAACATAACCTAACAAAATCGCCACTTGCGAGAGTGAGAAACTGCCTTCTCTGCCTTACATAAAAGACAGCGACCACTTGCGTTGTATGATTTAACATGGCCTATCCATTCTTCTATTATCTATGTTGACAACTCATTGTAAGTTTAAAAATAGAATTGAAAATAATTATTTTATGTTATCAAAGTGGGTATTTAACAGAGTAATAAGAACCTTTCTTGTTTATTGTTTATTGGTTCACTGTTCGACTAGCCATTCACGCTTGACGTTCCTTTCAATTTTATAATTTATACATTTCCGCATTAATTTTTACAACCTAATAAGATTTTGAATGAAAATGAAGAAATCTCTTGGTGGTGCAGCTAAGGCTAGGGAGAGGAAGAAAATAAATTTGGAACAAGTTGCTCATAATTGTTCACAAAAAATTTCTAGCATGTTTAATGATATAACAAAAAAATCTTCAAAACTTGAACCAGTTGAACCTCAGGTAATATTAATAAATTATAATAGGACAATTGGACATATTGTGCAATCTTATTGATATAATTATAACTCATAGAGAATAATTAATTTATAATGTAAACAATACATAAAAAAACTGGATTGTTTTTTATAGGGTAGGCAATTTCAGCCAGATGAAGATCATCAAGAATATTTAGTTGATGATCCTAACCCTGTATGTAAATGTTAAAAAAAATAATTTGTTTATTATGTTATATTTTATAAGACAAATCACTGATCATAAAGTAGGTATATTTAAGGATGAAGCTGAAGAGGAGTTAATATCAGCTCAGGTTGAATTGCATTCAAATATTTCAAATAGTATTCATATTCCTATACTTCATGAAAAGGAAAAACCAAAAAATGTCGTTGATAATATTGTGAGTAAATCTTTAACATGCACAAGAACTATTTTATGTAATCATTAGATGCAATAAAATTTTTTTTATTATTCTTATTATAAATCATGTTTTATTTTACAATATAATTTTTGGTCATAACCATTATAGGTATATTATAGTATATACTTATTTATTAAATTAGGGTTAAGATGTCTATGCACTAAAAAATGTATGTATAGAGACAAGTCTAATTATCAATAGAATATAAACAAATAGTTTACTTCAATTTATTGTTAAGGCTAAATACTATTCTTACAACGAATCATAAGTTATGGTTTTATTTTTATTTTTGTATACAAAGGTTCAATTACCTTTAAGTATTCTACAAGGACCTGAAAATCCCAAAGACATATCATTAACTAAAAGTGATAAACTAGTACAGCCTGAAATGATATTTCCTGCCATCAATGGTCGAAGGTTTTCTCGTAAATTCTATGAAAAGTACAATTAGATAGAGTATTCAATGTCAAATGATGCGTTATTTTGTTTCCCATGTCGTCACTTTGCTACTAACCTTTCAGCATCTGGACAAACTACAGCTCAAAAATGTTTTGTCAACTATGGTTCTAAATGCAAAAACTGGAAAGAAATAATAAAATGTTTAGCTAAGCATAGGAGGTATGAAAGGCATATTATTTCTACACAGCGTTGGTGTGATTATCAATTAGTTCAAACAAATAGTAATCATTCGGTAGCAAACCAATTAATTAATTTTAGACAACAAAACATTAATGAAAATAGAAATCATGTACACTTTTTGCTGAAGGCAGCACTTTATTTATCTAAACAAGGTTTAGCCTTTCGAGGCCACATTGATTCTGAATCATCAAAAAATAAAGGTAATTTTTTTGAAATATTAGAAATGTTTGCAAGTGATGAGATGAAGTTACGGTTACAGTCCCAGTATGGTCACTATACTAGTTCATCATATCAAAATGATTTTATTCAAATTATTGCTACATTAACAAGACAACATATACTAGGTTCAATTAATACATTTGGTTTTTACACTATTATGGTTGATGAAACAAAGGATTTATCCAAAAAGAACAAATGAGTTTTTTGTTAAGATTTGTGGATAATGACTTTAACATTTGTGAAAAATCAATTGGGTGCTATCACATAAAAAATTCAAATACTGAGAGTTTAGCAAATTAAATATTTTAAATATTATCAACAAATTAACTAGATAAAATGAATTGTATTGGCCAATGTTATAATGGTGCTTCCGTGATGAGTGGGGAATTTTCAGGGGTTCAAGAAAGAATAAGTTCAGAAGTTCCTCATGCCATATATATTCACTGTTATGCCCATCGATTGAACTTATGTTTAGTTCAAACACTTCAAAATATACCTTATATTAGTAATTTTTTAACACTATACAAGATTTATATAAATTTATAATGAACAGCCAGATAAGGTATGAGCTTTTTGTTAAGGCTCAAAAAGATGAAAATCTTGATGTTATCCATTTAGAAAGATTGATAGACACAAGATGGGTACACTTCAATTAAAAAAATTTTCTGAATTGTTAGCAGTTCTTTCAGTTTTGAGTAATGAAGGTGATCAAACTGCAAGAGTTATTGGAATTTCAAATGAAATGTCTACTTTACCCTTCATATTAACCTCACTCTCCATGGAAGCTCATTGTGCCTCTCTAGGACTCCAAAATTCCAATGTGATACAATCCGTGGCAGTTAATTTAATAAATAGTACAAAAGAGTCTATTGAACAAATACACAATGATACTTTTTGGGAAGGTAACTTTTTTGGGAAAATAACTCAGCAAAATTAATTGCTGAAAAAAATGGAATAGCTATAGAAAATAGTAGAAGAAATCGAAGACCACTGACTTTGAATAAAAATCTTAATGACTTTTTTGTGCAATCAACAATAGGACATAATTCTAAACGGTGCATTGTACTGATGACAATTTACAATCAAACAATCCAAAATATTTGTTTTATACTGCAATTGACAGGTAATTTGTACTTTATAAAGCATTATTTAATAATCATTAACTTTTATCACATTCAACACATTCATTTTTATAATTTTAACTGTTTTAATTCACCTACTTTAAACTAAAATTACACAGTAATGTATGGCAGTTAGTGATAATTTTACACATATTTTTGTTTTTAGATTTGTAAATGAGTTGAGTCAACGCTTCAGTGATTGTAATAATGCTATTGTTTTAACTTGTTCCGTTTTTCTTTCCTCTAGTCCTAATTACTTTAATCACAATTGTTCTTTTTTAAATACCTTAATTAAACACTATCAACATTTTAACATTAATAGCCTCTTGCTTGAATCTGAATTTCAATCTGCTAAAGCCCTTATACAAAATTCTAATACAAACCAAGGTAACAACGATATTTTTTCTACTTCCAAAATTTTAAACCAAATTCCTAATGCTTTTCCAGAAACTTTAAAAATCATAACTATCCTCTTAACTTTACCCGTTTTAACTGCGACAACTGGACAATTAACCTGTGACTATACACACACACCGAGTACACTCGGTATGACAGCATCTGTGCAAGTGACTATTACATACCTACATCAAAGGCCCTATATATATGCACGACCGAGGTCATGTTACATCCGTAAAGAGAGTGAGTCTAAAGCCGGGTTTACACTAGGAATTAGGATAGTACTCGGCCGAGTCACTAAAGCATGTTACTAAAATTGAGTACTAAATTGCGTCAAGTAAGTGTCCATACACAGTACAGTAAAATTGATTAGTGTTCATGTCTACTAACTAAGGTTAGGTTAATAACTAGGTATGTGTAGCTGTTGTTGATTTGTGAGTGAAAATTGTGGATATATGTTTGTAATATTATAATATATTATTATAATAGTTTGTAATAAGTTTGTATAGATACCTATATCCTATAGGTTATATTATACATATTACGTAGATATACTACATTTTCAATTTTATATATTATTTATATTTACTACAATTTATATTAAATGGATAAAGCAAAAATACGAAAATTAATATCAAAACGTTGCTTGTCAATCATCAGTCAGGAATTATTGAATTTGATAAAAGAAGAACAAGAAAGAAAGAAAAGAATTTGGATAAGAAAATGGATGGAAAAGAGAAGTACACATGGTGTTAGTAATTTACTTTTAAATGAACTAGTAGAAAACGACATTGCCGAATTTACCAACTGTATGAGGATGCCTCCAACTATGTTTCATACTTTACTTGATAAAGTTTATTCAAGAATTCAAAAATCTGATACTATCTTGAGAGAAGCTATTCCAGCCAAAATAAAATTGCAAGTGACACTGTCATTCTTAGCTACAGGAAATAGTTATAGAAATCTCCAACAGTCATTTCGAGTATCCAAAGCTGCAATCTCAAAATTTGTTTCTGAAGTGTGCGATGCAATTTATGAACACTTGCAGGATTTTTTACAGGTAAAAACAAAAGTATTGCTTTATTGTAATTTTATTCAATATAGTATATAAACATTTATTAACATTATAATAATTAACCATTTGTAAATTTAGTAGTAACATTTTTAATAACATAACATAATAATATAAAATGTGTAGTTAACATTTATTTTCTTCAAACATCACCTTTTTGTAAGTATAATAATAGCAGTAAAAAATTATTCAAAAAATGGTTGTATATAAACATTTAAACATTTATTAACATTATAATAATTAACCATTTGTAAATTTAGTAGTAACATTTTTAATAACATAACATAATAATATAAAATGTGTAGTTAACATTTATTTTCTTCAAAAATCACCTTTTTGTAAGTATAATAGTAGCAGTAAAAAATTATTCAAAAAATGGTTGTATATAAACATTTAAACATTTATTAACATTATGATAATTAACCATTTGTAAATTTAGTAGTAACATTTTTAATAACATAACATAATAATATAAAATGTGTAGTTAATATTTATTTTCTTCAAACATCACCTTTTTGTAAATATAATAATAGCAGTAAAAAACAACAAAAAATAAAAATGATACAACATAATATGGTTTGTTAATAAACTATACTCTGTACCAAATAAGAGCGCACCGGGCGGCGCACGAAAACCGGTCGAAACTCGCGCATGTCAGAGAGCGCTGCCGCAGCATATTCCGGCGCCGGCCAGGTCAACTCTGAATACAGAGTGTTGTATTATATCACACCAATTTTAACGGTATACGTGGTTAGACGTTGTTATATTTTTTGCGGGCATTGGTGAATATTTTGAATGTTTTTAATATTATATTGAGTTCAATACCTATGTTAAGAAAAAAAAAACGAAAAGTATGTGTATTATTTTACTGATTAATACGCGTGAAACGCATTATTACTTCAGCTCCCTGTATTCTCGACGGCGGCGAATCCGACCGACGATCGGCGACCAATCACAGAGCGAATAGACTCGACCAGGGGGTCCAGACGTCGCTCCGCGATTCATTTGGATGCGCCAACGCGGTGCGCTCTTATTTGGTACAGAGTATAAATAACTTTTTGTAAATTCTAATTATTTAAATTTTCAAAACTATTTGCAATAGCTGTAGCTAATAAATCACTATTACAGTTACCGTTAATATTTGAAATATTGTAATGATCAGGTGCTGAAATATATGTTGATGATGATGTACTATCTAATGATGACATTGGCGTAGAACAAGTAATGTCTTGTCTTGCATAACAAATATTGGGTACATTAGATCTAATTTAATTTAGCCTTAATTGAGTTAATATACTTTGAATTTTTTCTTGACCAATTATTGCATTTTCAGTTGATAATTTCTCCAATTGAGAAGCAACATGTTTCCCAAAAATTTCATATTCATTTGGTTTTGATTCAGTATTTATAGTCTCATTTAATTTTTGTAATTGTTGCACAGTGGATGATAACTCTTGTAATCTAGATTTTTTTTTCCTTGGTAGTTCCATGTGATTGGTAATATCTGAAGTGAAATCTTTATTCATTGTTGAGGCATTGTTTATTTCAAGTGATATATTATGTTCTTCATCTCTTTCGTGGTCATTCATACATATTAATTGACTATTTGTTTGACTTATTGAGTCTACAACTGATGTATCCTAAAAACAATAACAATAGTTTAAAATGTATTGTAGGTACCAGACTCAGAAGATAAGTGGAAAAACATTGAAAAAGGATTTATTTTATTTTATTTTATTTTATTATTAAATATACGGGATAAAACCCTTTAACACAATTACACATTACATTCATAGACATTGTATACAGTTATATAACTTAAGATTAGAAGTATTTAATTAAACAAAACAGCTATAAAGTAAGTAGACACGAAGGGTCAACATTGGCATTACTCATTATACGTGAAATCGGTTCATTTTTTAGATAGTTTGTGGAGGCAAAAGGGACATAAAAAGGAGTGATAGATCGGGAAGGACGTTGAGGAACACGGAAACAGATTAAGGAAAGCAATTCAGGAGAGTCGATAATTCCATCTAATAAGTTTTTTAAAAATTTGATGTCCGCCAACCGCCTACGCTCAGCCAGGGAAACCAGTCCTAGCTGAGAAGCAACTGGTTCGTAGTTATGAGGTTCACATGGAATATTCAAACGAAATCCAGCATACTTCATGAATTTTCGTTGAACCCTTTCTAGCCTGACAGAGTCATTATTGTCGTGAGGATTCCAAATAACGGCACCATATTCTAAAATAGGGCGTACGAGAGTACAATAAAGAACCTTAAAGGATAAGCCTAATCGAAAGTCTCTACATAGTCTCAATACAAATCCCAAGGTTCTAAAAGCCTTGCAACAGATATGTTCAATGTGGGGACTCGGATCGAGATTACTAGTAAGAATAAACCCAAGATCAGTAACACTGCCATTAGAGCATGCGATAGCAGTTGGCCCAAGATGATATGCATATTTGACAGGGGTCCGAATTCTAGTATAAGTCATGGTCTTACACTTAGAAACATTAAGGGATAAGCCTAGAGTATTGAACCATTAATACAAGGTGGAATTTCCCAAACTGTTATGGTGCTATTGATGGGAAACACATAAATATTCGTGCACCTAGTCATTGTGGAAGTTTTTATTTTAACTATAAAGGAGTAAATAGTATCGTATTAATGGCAATTGTAGACGACAATTATTGTTTTCGCTACATAGATATTGGCTGTAACGGAAGAGTATCAGATGGTGGCGTTTTCCAAAATTGTGCAATATTTACTGCACTGGAAAATAATATACTGCCTGATGGAGGGTTTACTGTAGGAGATGATGCTTTTCCATTAAAAACATACTTACTTAAAAAAATTTTTAACTACCGATTGTCTCGTGCGAGACGAATCGTAGAAAATGCATTTGGGATTTGAGTAAGTAGATTCCGAATTTTTGAAAAACCTCTTTCTTGTGAAGTCTCAACTGCTGATAAAATTGTTAGAACGTGTTGTGCATTACACAATTGGCTAAGATCGGAATCGGTATCGTCATACATGCCCAGGGGATCAGTTGATGAAGAAAACATTGATGAAGGCATAATAACTGAAGGATCATGGAGAACACAAAGTTATTCTAGTTTTTTGCCAATTGCTAATTCAAGAAGTAATCACTCTTCACAAGCTGCTAGAGATTTAAGAGATAAATATCAGGAGTATTTTTTAAACGAGGGATCAGTATCATGGCAAGAAATGATGATATATTAATTATTAATGTCAAAATTATAACTATATAATATTATTATATATATATATTAAATTAAAAATAATATAATATTTTTTAATCTTATTAATTTTATAAAATATAGTATTACAGCTTATATTTATACTATACAAGTTCTCATTATTATAAACACTTAATTATTTTTCTTTCTTTTTAGATTCATTTTATTTTTACTACCTAATAATTTATTTATTATTTATTTGTTTATTTAACGCCAATCGGCAATTCAAGAGATTTACAATACAAATTATATATAGAGAATATTAAGTAACAATGTGATGGAGTAATCTTATATAAAAAATTAATTTTAATTTTAATTTATAATTAATTAGTATCAATTTTGTATTTTCTTGTATGTATTCAAAATTGTGTATTTTATGGTTTGAAAATTAATTAAAATTTTTATATAATAATGGTCATAATAGTATTGAATTATTATTCAATCTATCATCATATTTTTCTATTTCATGTAATATAATACATTGAATTTTATAATTTTTATTTATAATTTATGTTATAAATTAAGTTTCTTATATTATTATTATATATATTAAATTATGTTAAAAAATAAAATTAATACTTACAAGGCTAAGGTTGTCATGAGTCTTTCTTTTATTGCCAGTCCCTTGCAAAAATGCTTCCATCTCTTTAAACCATTTTACTTGTGGTATGTGTAAGTAATCTGTTCCTGCACCCGATTTTTTGGAACATTCAATTTTTTTTAACTCTTGTGAGTACGTTGAACGTAAGTTTTTAATTTTAGTTTTTACTTCCGCAATTCCAAAGTCTGGTATGTTCCATAGACATAATGGAACAATTCATAATTGGTAAAAAATTATACAATAATAAGGTTAACTTTCCCCAACCTCGTTGTTTGCCGGGAGATGAACAAGGCATACCTCAACCGTTTATTGTAGTTGGAGATGAAGCATTCGCTTTACATACTAATCTTTTACGGCCTTTCCCTGGAAAAAGTCTGAATGATAAAAGGCGTATATTCAATTACCGCCTATCGAGAGCGAGACAAAATATCGAATGTTCATTCAGTATACTTTATAATAAATGGAGAGTATTTCATTCTACTTTATTAGTTGATCCTAATTTCGGAGTTGCAATAACAAAAGCGGCCTGTGTTTTGCACAATTTTGTCAGACGAAGAGATGGGTACAACACTGAGGATGCTCAGATTTGTAACATGGAAAATATAACGCGAAGAAATGGAGTAGGCAATTCCACATCTAATGCAAAAGATGTGAGAAAATATTTTGTTAATTATTTCAACAACCCGGCTTATGAACTAAGTTGGCAAAACAGGGTGATATGAAAATAATATATTATGAAAGTGTGTGGTACCTACTTATACATATTATACTTTATATTAAATATTAACATATTTTAATTTGTAATATTACTTAAAAGTGTGTACAAATACAGTTTAATAATATTAAACAAACTTTAATGAATAAATAAAATTATATTAATTGCTTACTTTTTGTCTTTTTTTCATTTTCATCAATTGTTTCGAAACACTTTTCGGCTATTTTAGTCCAGCTGACATGTTTAGCAACTTTGTCATGGTATAATTTTGATTCTAAATAAATCGGTACATATTAATATAATATATATTGGTAATCCAGGTTTTTTGTTAGTGTGCAGTGAGACACATTTTGTGCAAAAAAAGAATTTCAGGATGATTTATTTTATTGTATATTATAAAACAATAATTGAGTTGACTTCAAAATAAAAATAAGTGTTTCTATTAAAATTAAAAATAGTTTATATTATTCATTATTATACTGTTTTTTTTTTTTTTTTTTAAACAAAAAAAAATATCTACCGCCTTTAAATACATGCTTGTAATGGTGGTAGGGTGTTATATAAAATTATAACTTATATTAAATTACAACAGTTAAATATAATTCCTTATTTTTTATTCAAGTACCTATTGAAAATAACCAAATCTGAATTTTTTTTTCATTTCTATGGTTGTACGATTCCCTTCTGTAAAGAATATGTCTTTTTTTATATTCACTGACATTTAGTTGTAGATTTTTGGATCTAGATAATTGAGTGCATTTTGGACCAAACGATATTCTAGAGTAGGTACTAGCACCATTCTGACATCAAATGCCCTATTTTCTCTTTTAATTATATATACAATATAGGTAGGTAGTTATTTTTTTGTATACAGACTCAAATGGTAATACATCTAATAACTTAAAGTTTTCTTTAGTTGAACTAATTAAAGTATTTTTACTTCAATATATCCTAACAATTTTTCTTTATAAAAGTTTAAGTGGTCTAGACGCATTTTGATTCAGCAAAAATCATCATTTTTACTATTATTTGATGTAAAAGTATATTACAAAAATTATAAAGAAATTAGGTACCTACCTAGTAAATTGATTGTTTTTATTTTTACTAGGACTGCAATGCGGTTCGCTGATTGCAAGAAATTGAGCTGAGCGAGTTAAACACACCGAACCTAATTAAATGTGTTAAAATTTAATAAAACTTTCTTAATCGAGGCATGTTTCAAGTATATTTGTTGTAAAATTATTGATTTATGCCGGATCTATTTTTCTATGGAAACAAAATTATGGTATCAAAATTAGTTTAAATTTAGTTTTTCGGTGATTATTCCTCGATGGTAGGTCGGACATCGATCAAAACCACTTGTTGGCCCTCAGCGATGTCCACGCTATCACCGTGCCAAGTTTGGTTCAGATCGGTTAATCCGTTGCAAAGAAGTATGCCGTTTAGTAAACGGCTATCCCGCGTATAAGAGCTTCGATCGGCTTCGCCTCGCTCAGCTCAATAAACAATTATTACCTATTACAAATTACCTATTTCAAGTAAATATTACTTAGTAAGTTTTATTACTTATATTTACAAACAAAATTTTAAAATTATTATTCACAAATTTACAATTAAAATAGTGTATTAATATAAAATGATTTGTTTGGTATATTATGAGAGAGTCGGGATTTTGTTAGGTCATTATGTTCAATATAAATAAAATAATAAAATAGTTAATAAAAATAAAAATGAATTGAATATACCTATTATTATATTTTTTTATAATTATATGACATTTCAGCAACAAATGAATACCTGTTTAAAAAAAAAAAAATAGACATAATATGAATAATTATTTTACTTTTTGTAATTACATACCTAGAAATGTCTTCGTTTTTCAATTTAATAATTGCATTGTCGATTGCTTCACGACGTTTGTTTGCTCGGTAGTCTTTTGATTTTTTCGGAGTATGAATACTTCTTATTTTGCAATAAATATCAGTTTGAATTTGTTTCACAATATTGAGCCACATAAATATATTTGGTTTTTCTTTGTAAAAATTTTCTTTAAAATGTGAATGGAATGACTCACATGAATTGGTAGTTCGTAATAACGAAGATGATGATTCTGCCCAAATAAGTGGTGGACAAGTAGCATTTTCTGAAATGAACGTGTCTGTTAAATAGTCAGCATAATGATTCACTCTGTCTCTATTATCGTTAGGTATATTGCTCATAAAATCTTCAATAAAACACGAAGAAACTTCTTGTGGAATTAGAAATGTGAGCCCAAACGTATTTCTAATCGAAGAACCAATTTCAGAATTTTTTTCTTTATACTCTTGAACTAAACCAAGACTTTGAATTTTTCGAAACCATGATTGGGTCAGGTGAAACCTACAACCAACTATTAGTGTATTAGGCCATACTATAGAAACAGCATCATGAATAGCTTTCTCAAAATCAATTGTGATTGATTTTGGATTTATTGGTCAATTTTAATTCACTACATTTAAGTATAATATGGTTAAATGTATTAACATATGTGTCAGTGGATTTTTGTGTAACTAGAAGACAAAACACAACTGGTAGGTATATAATGTCCGTTTTTAAAGCCATGTATTGTAAACATTTGGTTAAAATGTTTGGCACTGTATGCAAATGTACCATCGCAATAAATAATTTCAGATTCACATAAAAATTTTAAGTTTTGGTAACAAGAAAATATTAACACGTTTTTATCATCATCATTAACAAGTAAAAATTGTTCTTCGGAAGTAGTCTTAATGTCCATATTATTGATTGCTACATGTACCTCTTCAATATTTTTCGACAGGTTCGGCAGCAAAGATTGACGGGCTGCATAAATATTTTTCCTAATTTTATGAATATCGGTATTATCAAAATTTGAACAGTCTACAGAACTTTGTTCTAATTCCTTAAGTATTACTTTTTTTGGTCGTGAGAATAAATCGTCAATTGCTTTTCGTTTACATGCGTTATTCACTATTTGTCGATTTATTTTTTTTGGTGATGGCAAATGATTTGGATGTACATTTTTGCGTAATTCATCGGCTACTATTTCATCAGTTTTATTAGTGTATATAGCTGCTTGACAAGTAGTCAAACAACATCGCCAACGTGATAATCCAGATTTTAACTCGTATGCTAAAAAATATTTGTAATCATCACGAATTAACAAACGTTTTCCACGAGAACTTTCAATAAACGTCGCTTTTTCAGACATGTTTAAATTAAAATAAATGTAATATGAAACACAAGAACTACAAAGACATTCAACACTATAGACATTATTGACTAGTCGACGTACAGTTCGCTACTAAAAATATAGTCTTATTAATGCGAGTATATCCTATACATTCGCACTTCGCAGTGTGTCTGTCTCACTCAATGTGTGTAATCATAATAATAAGTGACAACTGATACACAATATAACAATATATAAGTATATACGTATATCCCCGTATGGAGTATGTACGTATCTTTATTAGACTTAATCGATAGCTGATATAGATAGCCGATACCAGAGTGTAGTCATTAACCGATAAGCGAAAAATGTGATTCTATAGCTTCACTCTATCTTTATAAAATGGAACGTAATACTACAACTAAAATATTTGCTAAAATATAGGAGGATAATGGACCAGGGTTGCTACAGAATTTAGATTTCAAAATTCCCTGATTTTCCAGTCATTTTCCAGAACATTTTCTATAAAATAGTTACTAAATAGGCGTGTTTTGGCGGAGTAAACTGTTTAGTAAATAAGTTTATGGTTATAGAATACGGTTAGAAAACGTTTACTATGTTTTTTTTTTTTATAACACCTATAGTTGTGATAATAGGAAACATAGATTTGTTTATTTTAAAAATCACAGATTAATTATTATTATTATTAATTTATTATTTATTATTATTTATCGTAGGAAAATTGTATAATACAAGAGCATGAATATAAACAACATAATATTAAATTAATAATAAATAATACAATTTGAATACATTTAATTATTGTAAGAAATCAAACCAAAACTTAACAACTTCAGACTTATGGGTTGTATAAATAGTTACTGAATAGTTTTTTTAATTAACTATTATTATATAATATAAAATACATTTAATTATTATAAGAAATCAAACAAAAACTTAACAACCTCAGACTTATGGGTTGTATACATAATAACTGAATAGTTTTTTTTTAATAAACTACATTTAATTATTATAAGAAATTAAACAAAAACTTAACAACTTCAAACTTATAGGTTGTATAAATAATAACTGAATAGTTTTTTGAATAAACTATTATTAAATAACATTAATACATTTAATTATTATAAGAAATCAAACAAAAACTTAACAACTTCAGACTTATGGGTTGTATAAATAGTTACTGAATAGTTTTTTTAATTAACTATTATTATATAATATAAAATACATTTAATTATTATAAGAAATCAAACAAAAACTTAACAACCTCAGACTTATGGGTTGTATACATAATAACTGAATAGTTTTTTTTTAATAAACTACATTTAATTATTATAAGAAATTAAACAAAAACTTAACAACTTCAAACTTATAGGTTGTATAAATAATAACTGAATAGTTTTTTGAATAAACTATTATTAAATAACATTAATACATTTAATTATTATAAGAAATCAAATAAAAACTTAACATTTTATACAAAATGATAAGAAATTATTTTTGAAGTTTTGACATCTCTTCGTCAATAGCTTCAGTTTCTTTCATAGCACTTTCAAGTAATCGTCGTCTTTTTTCTTTGAGTTCTTTAAGCTGTTCATTAGCTCTTTTTTGGTTTTCAGCAAATCTCTGCTTTTCTTGATCTTCTTTTTTTGCTTGTTCTAATGCTTCATGGTAATAAGATCTAGCATTTCGAACTGCATGAATCATAGTTTTTGATATATTTACTTCTTTAGTACCACCAGCAGCATTAATGGCTGACCAAACATGTCTTTGCCCAATTAACGAATCTTCCTTCATATTTTCAGATATACACTCTTTATTTATAGAGAATCCTCGTTCAACAGCTGCATTCCCATGGAATAAAATGAAAATTGTTTTCAGAAAACGCATTGTTTCAACAGACAAATTGCACATACTTGGCAAGTTTGTCCAAAATTCATCCAGACGATCAGTCTTTAAATAATTTTTACACCGTTCAATAAATTGAGAATTATTAAAAAGCTTTATAAACTCTCTTTCAACTCTATCAGCTGCACAACCAGAGATCAAATTATTGTCAACGAAAATTTCCAAAGTATTTTTTAGTCGACGTAAAGATATTTTAAAATTACTTGCAATAATATTAGGATCACAGAATGTAATGCTTCTCACTATGGGGTACTTTAGTGGAGACTTGTCAAGTAATTTGGAACAAAATTTTTGAAAAATCAATGAACAGTCAAGTCTGAATTTTAACATGTCTTTATCATTTATCTGTTCAGTATTCCTTAGAGCTTGACGAGTTGTATAGCCCAAGTCAATATATTTGGATAAACGAATGTTATTCTTATCAGTAACATCAATACTAGTGATAGAAGTTGATTCAAAAATTTCCTTTTTTATAAATTTTTGCATTACTGTTTCCATAATAGTTTTTAAATCGGTGTACAAAAATGGAGCCATTGGGGCATCTGATTGATAATTCCGTAAAAAAGGTTCAACATCATTTGCCAATGATTTAAAGAAAGCAAGTTTGGGTTTTAATAATTTATCATTTAAGCAATTGATCATTATTTTATAACTTAGAGAAGTTGGTTCTCTAGGTGTATTTTTAACAAAATTTACATACTTTAACAAATTTGGTAAAATTTCTTCAGCTCTTTCAGCTACTTGTATATTTTGAAGCCATCTTACTGGACAAAACTTGAGAGGGAATTTGTATGATCCAGAGCATTTAGTATAGTCGGATCTGCGAGCAGGTACATTTTTAAAATTATTATAAATAGCTCTTAAAAACTCAATGATTTCCCACTTGCTCGTCTGCATAGCAACTTTAAACGAATTGTGTAATGTGTGAATTCCACAAGTACCCAAGTCCAACATTACTGTATTGATGTTAGGCATGTTAGCTAATTCCATCTGCAATGTCTTTAAAACTTTAATGTTGACATAAGGCCCATCCATCGATAAATGTATCATTTTATTAAGATCAAAATTCTTGAGGGCACTCTTCAAGGCTTCTAATAAATCAATAGCAGTCGTGTGTCCTAAAAAACATGATGTCAAATAACGAGAAATTACTTTATTAGATGACTTGCACCAAAATCTCACGATTATATCCATTTGTTCTTTTTGAGATATTTTGTTAAGTGATTCGTCAAATGATATAGAAAAAAAATCGGAATCTAGAACTTCTGAGATTAAACTCTCAGAAAAATACTTTCCTAATCCATAAATGATTACATAGGTTAATTTAGCTCTTTGAAGTTGTATATTTGAAGCAATTTCAGAATCTGGATACATATATTTCATAATTTCCACACATCTCCCACCAGCCGACATTGATAAATGATTTTCAATACAACTTAAAGCCCATATTATTTCAGCCCTTGTAACATTATCTCGCTCAAGAAAAGTAGAAATATTTTGTTTTTTGGTAGACACTGTACAATTATTCTTAACCGTAGATTGATTAGCGTTAACATCGTTAGGCGCCGTTAACATATCATTAACATTATAACTCTCTTTTTGAGCATTAGTAATAGTTGTGTGTTTTTTACCTTTCATATGACTAAGGATTGCTGTAATACCCATGTTGCTTAATGAAAATGACTTCAGACAGAGTTTGCAAAACGCAGAATTTTTATTGCCAACATCTTCCTTTATCCAAGAATATTTGTCAATCCAATTACTTTGAAAATACGTTTTAGCCATAGTAGATACAATTTAAATAAAATATAAATTAATAAATGATATTTTAACAGACAAAAACTTAACAAGTATGTAGTATATAATATTTAACGTTTTTGAAAATGAATGGCCAGCATTATTATCATATGGACGGTGTTATCTATCTTATTCTCAATAATATTATCTATCGAGATAGCCAAATATCAGTGCCACCAGTCAATCCGGCTTAAAATTATTTTCAAAACAAAAGCATGATATTTAATTTTTAAAACGGACTTGTGCCCTTTTGCACAAACACCGTCCATATATAATATAATAAATGATTAGATATAAATGGTTAAATAATGTTATCACAGAAGAATATCAAAGACATTAAACATTTATATTTTACATATTGGGTGATAAAGATTGGTCTTTATTATCTATATTTTATTAACTGCCTATACAGATTAAACATACTATTGAATCAATAGTATTGATACCTATTATGTTATGAAATATCGTCGAAATAGCGCGATATATTGATTCAAGTTTTTGTTCCTAATATATTAATTATCTATCAGACATAATTTAAAAATAATTTTTGTATGAATATATAAAACTAAATAATGAATAAAGTTTGGAATACATAGTTTAATAGTTATATATGTATCGGAAACCATGCTTTAATATTATAAATATTTTTCCATAATTTTTCCTTATTTCCCTGAGTTTTCCTGAATTTCACTGACAAATAAAAAAATCCCTGACAATTCCAGATTTTCCCGGTTTTCCAGGTAGCGTAGCAACCCTGTAGACATAACTTTAGTCGAAAATAATATGGAGGAAAATTGTCAGTGGAGGAAAACGGTATCTCGTTTTTGGAGGAAAATGGAACCGCCCCATTTCTGAGTACCTATATGCAGTCTTATGAAAGTAAAAAATGTAGATAATACAGTATACAGTAGACAGTAGGTTAGTAGGTACTAGGTAGTATAGCCGGCAAAGTTTACAGGGGTGACGTGACTCCAGAGACATGATTAGGGGGTGCCCAAGTGATAATTTTCAGAAAATATCGATGATTTTTTTTAAATTATGTTTAAACATTATCCCTGATAGGTCAAAGGATAACGGTCCGTAGGGTTTGGTGTGCATAGACAAATTCTCTACTATAACCCAAGAGTGGAAATAAGATTGTGCGGTAAGAAAAAATCATTAAAAAAACCCTGAGGTAATCATTCCAAACAATTTAAATAGGTGTAGGTGCCTATCATTTATATAGGGATCTATTAACCAGTTTTAAGCAAACTAATGAAAATAATGAACGTAAGTTAGTTAATTTAAATTATAACATTATCTTCGCATTGGAAAAATGGTAAATTATATTATACATTGCTTTCCGACTCTCGGAAAAAGTATTCAACTTTATAAGTATTCAAGTATTTTAAGTATAAATTTGTTAAATTGGCATATTATATTATATTATAACAATTATTAAACTATTAATTTAACACATGATAAATAACACGAACTTAACGAAAATATTTCATAGGCGGCATTCGTATACTAATTGTTCAAATATTTTTTGGTTTATTCGTAATAAATTAATTTTTCCATCAGTGATTACGTTATAAGTGTAATGTAAAAAGTCTAATGTCTAATATAAGTATTATATTTGTAAGAATACAATACACAGTAGTTTTTTGATGATATGTAAATATGTATTTTATTCTCACGTAAATGAATTTAAAACATTAAATCAGTGATTTTACAATATTTTCTTTTCATACACAAATGCTCTTCGAGCTACAGATATTTGTCGTTACTCAGATTAGATTTTATGTTTTATTAAATAATATGTTCTACAATATATTCTTTTATGGTCACAAATGCTCTTCGAGCTACAGTTATGTTTATTTATTTGGTGAATAATATCAAGACTCACGTAGGTGATAATCGTTATATCCGAATAGTATGGTTCTTCCAACGTTGGCGCACTCCTCTGGCACTGGCACGGGGTAGAGCGTAGTTTCGATCGGCCGCGGCGGCGCACAAGTGGCGGTGGCGACGGAGACGATGCGAGGTTCAGACAGCGGCGACAATACGAAGTTCCGACAACAGCGGCAGCGACGATGCGAAGTTTAGTCGACAGCGGCAGCGATGCGAAGTTCCGACGGCGGCGGCGACAATGATAGTAGCGGCGGCGACAATGATAGTAGCGGCGGCGACAATGATAGTAGCTGCGGCGGCGGCTGGGGTAGCGACTCCCGAGAGATGTGGTACCTAGCTTGTCAATACGGTACACGTATTACTAGATACCACAAATCTACTACAGCTACGATTACGGGGCACTCCTCTTGTTTAGGTGTGTGCAGCTTGTCAATACGGTATACGTATTACTGCACACAGTAAACCAGAGGAGGGTAAAATGACAAGAATGACAACTAATACGAACGGTTGACGTTTCGGTATAACGGTCAATAAGTACGATCCGGTACTGGGTGCGAGGTGATTTTGGTCATTCACACAGCCTGTATATCTGCATGTTCTGACAATGAGAAGATAGGCAGCATGGCGTTTCCGTATAGGACATTAATTTGATATTTGTATCATTTGTATTACCGCTGGTACCTGGGCGGCTGTGAACTTTAAGAAGATTAGATCTCGCTGCATTGACATGTACAGTCAGACAGAAGACTCGATGTTTAATTACTTTAATATGTTTGTACTTGTTTCGATATCATAAAGTGCGTGCTCCGGCGCGCACTCTATGTAAAATGTTTTTGCTGATTGAATCAGCACCAGATCATAAATGAAATCAACATTACACCCGCTATAAATGTAATTGGCGAAATTTAGTAGCTTTAGTGTAATGAAACGCAATTGGTTGATAATTATAGTATTTTATTTATTTAAAACCAATGTGTTCATCATCTGAGTTTATACAATATGTATGAATCTTATAACAGTATTTTCTTTTATATTGAATTTAAGTTGACTCCGGAGAGTGTACAGTAAAAATAGTTTATTTGGGGATTTACATATAAAGGGGGTCAGTTTACATTCAACTCACGACTTGGTGGAGTTTGATATGATCCGTGTGTGGCGTATTCGTCTTCGACGTAATACACTGGAATGGGTCCTTGGACAGCTTCACTGACAGCAATGTGCGCGGCGGTGATGCTCTTCAATCTGGTTCTCGGCGGGATAATAACAACTCGAAATACTCGACCGACACGACAAACCAGAATTGAAGAAGTTGATCGAACTGCACACTCTACTCGAACGGCGGTGATACAGTTCCAAACGACTGGCGGTGGACTTCGGGTATACGTCGTCTCACGGCACGAGATACTAGTTGATACGCGGCGGCGGCTCGACGTAATAACAGTATTATCAAAAATAATACGAGGGACAGCGGATGATACGCGGCAGCACGGCTCGGACGGCGGCGGCTCGACGTAATAACAGTGTTATCAAAAGTAACACGAGGGACAGCGGATGATACGCGGTAGCACGGCTCGGACGGCGACGGCTCGACGTAATAACCGATCGTTACTGGGGTGTGCCGGGGCAGACTGTATATTGCATCCGTGTCTAACGAGTTCAAAAAACTCGTCCGGCTTACAATAAGTCGCAGGGCGTATGCTGGTTTGTCGAATGATTAGTGTCCGTGTCTAACGAGTGGTATGCTCGTCCGGCTCACTAATGCATTCGACACAGCGGGGAAGTGGTGCTCGGACGGCGTTTTCGAGGTCTATATATGCTATTCTCGGATTATCGATGGCGTGTAAAATGTATGAAATGCTTTTGCGGATTTCGATGTTTTCTTGGCAGCTTAAAATACATTAAAAATACCCATCATGTAGCGTAGGTTCTGTAGAATTTTATAGTAGTATGAAAATGGTTTTAAGTTGCGGGGTTTTTCATGAACAATGAGTTTCCCCGGGGCCGCCGTATCGTCTGTATTGGCATGGCGATGTGCGCTCTGCCTGTCGGACGTCAATCACGGTGGTTATGATGTTCTGGGCATGTTTGCAGCACGAGAGCGCGTGTTGGTCGGCGAGCGGACTGGTTTAGTGACGGGACACAGATCGCGCCACTTACATAGGTACCGCGGTTTTGTTCCGTTACATTAGTTACTTTAGTATAAAGCTAGCGTCAAAGTCACAAGGATTATAGAGTGTTTTTAAGCTATATAGAGTATTCGTAGCCGTTGACATACACTTTCATGTCGCGCTTACACGCTCTACTAGAGCGCGCGCGCAGTATTAAAATTGAATTAATTCTGTCTCGTTACATATTATGAAAAATATTTTAATAATAATAAAACTTATTTACCCATACGGCTATACATAGATCTTATTCGAATGATTACAATATTAACACGCAGTAAATTAAAATGCGTAAACGTAGTCGAGACTCGATGGTCGAGGATATTGCTGTACATGCGTACAGTTAAGTTGTAGTAAACAGAAATAATATGTATCAACACTAAATAATAATAAATAATATTGACCACCCAAGGTGTATTGATAAAGTGTCGTCACTAGTTTCAAGGTAATTATAATACATGGTAGAGCCACTTCACTATCAAAATCGCGATTGTTATTATTTATCGCCATCACTATCAAATGCTTTTAACCAGCATAAGGTGGAACCAATGAAATACAAGTAATTTTTTGCGGAAAATTTAAATTATATTCTTTATCATATAATTTTACACGGCCCTTAGACTATAAGCTAATCTGATTGGTTCCACTCTCGGCCACCATTTTATTTCGATAGTTCATCAATCGTTATTTCGATAGTGAAGTGGCACTACCATGTATTATAATTACCTTGACTAGTTTGAACATTTTACTACAGACAGTTGTTATCACCGGGAGCGCTACATGTCCTATGGAATAATTGAACCCTATTGTTAGTGGCGCAACTAGCGGGTAAGTTAGGAAAGAGAAATAATAAAAAAAATAATAATAAAAATTGGTTTTCTGTACTTTTTCACATTTTATAATTATTATTATTACCTATATTTTTTTTATAAACATCTACATTAAAATGAGATGGTTATACTCTAATTACCTATACTGTAATTTTAATAGTTATTGTTAATAGCCTATGGATTACCTATATTACACTACGAGTTATTATTGATTTAATAATATTATAAGATCATTAGGTACCATGGATTAATGGAGGCCAAGAATAGTGTTCTAAAATGCAAAAAACAATCTATAGCCTACTCGTATTATTATTATAACAGGGACTTATGTTAAATCAATGTGAAAATAATGTTTAACAATACATATTTTTTGTAATTACATTTTGATGGATATATCATAAATGGAAATTTCCACTAACACCCGCATCTATGTATAATATAATCGATATTGCTCAATATTATTGACGGTCTAGTATAGATATTGAAGGATTGTACAATATATTGAAGAAATCAAAATGGGTTGGACATTTTTTTTACAATACACAATATTATTGAACGTTTGAATATGATATTGTGCAAAATTACGCAATATTTAGTATCATATCATATTGGTTCTGAAGCCACACGTGTTGTGTCGTGTTGCTACAGGTTTATATTTTTCATTCTATTGATACACTAAATATGTTTTCTACACAAGCTTAAAGAAATAAGAATTATAATTATAATAAGACATAATAGGAAATAGGAATTATGTCAACTAAAATGGAAGAACGTTAATTTATAATCGAATATATTCATTTGTATCGGGATCTGCTGGCACTTTAGAATGTCAAAAGTAAGGATTATTCCAATCATAAAAAAAAAAAAAAAAAAAAAAAACCGGCCAAGTGCGAGTCTAGAGACTAGCGCAAGAAGGGTCCCTTACCATCATCTATAAACATTAAACATATTAGCAACACTACTTATATTATATACATTAGGATTTTTAGTATTTGTTGTTATAGCAGCCACAGAAGGCCAGGGGTTGTTTGTCCAATAAAACGCATGCACCATTTAAACGCCCTGTATTTGAAGCGGTGGTATCACAGCATAGAGCTTGAACAACATCTGTTACGCCCCAATTTTCTAATGCATAATATATAGCATTAGCTTGTTCTTTTCCCGTTGGTTTTTCCAACTTTGGGATACCAATAAGCAAATCTTGATTCTTACTGGTTAAAACAATTGGTAATCTATCAATACCTGAGTCTCTAACATTTAACGTCGGTAGTATTTTTCCATCCCAGTGTACAGTTATATAACTAGGGATAGAACTTTGAAAATTGGTTTTAATTTTATTGGCACGTTCAACTCGTAAAGCATCACGACATCGATGTATAGACGATTTATTTATGATCAGACTATCAACATTGCTACCCAATGCTTCAGCTGTTGCTTGAATAATATAAACTGAGTCCCGTACACTTAATTTACATCGATCTAATGCAGCAACAAGCTTTGGAGAAATGAAATTGGTGCGGCCCCTTTTTTTTCCTGATAGTGTCAGTGGTATACGAGTGCATTCGAAGTCATAATAACCAGACTTAGAATTGGACACACGAAAATCTCCCACAGCTTTCTAATGGCCAAGGAAGAAACCCCCATTGTGCACATCCTGAGGTGTCCAAGTCACCATCAGCCACATTCTCACCGAATGCCGATCATACCACAACCTGCCCGAATCACTGTCCAATATACTAAGCAATCACCCTCAATCCATAGTCAACATCATCCAATTCATCACAGCTGCCAATCTTCAAACCAAAATTTAGAATAATTTAGATTTAGTTTACTCGTACAATTTATGTAATTTGTAATTTCCTTCCTGTAAGCCCAATGGCCCATGCTGCCGAGGGTATAAATTAATTAAAAAATAAAATAAAAATAAAAGTATAAAAACATAAATGATAAGTTAATACCTTTGTTAGAAATGCCAATGCTGGAAGATGGCGACAAAGTAGATTGAAATTGAAATCTTCGATGTATTTCGTTGCCAAACCTTCTTTTTGAATATTTCGGTATATATTTTGTGAGAAATGAAAAAAACAAGCCGAGTGAAAAGCTGATGGAAATACATCGTTTATCGCATTAATGGCTGCTTTTTCAAAGTCTGTTATAATTTCTAAATTAGAATTTCTTGTTAAATTTATATCATTTTCTAAAGCAAAATTATTTAATTCTAAAAACATTGTTCCATTCATTTGTTTAAAAATTTGTTTGCTTGACCATTAAACTAAAAACTAACAGTACACAAATAGTCCCATTTCCTTTTTTGATATTTCCATGTATCGTGTAAATTTGTTTAAAAAGTCCAGGGCAAGACTTGAAAGTTCCATCAGCCAACCAAAATTGAGACTCACTTAAATATCGTAAGTTTTCGATGATAGATAATATAATAATTTTCTCTGTGTCACTACCAATATTTTTAATATAAAATTCTTGTCCAGATAATGTTTTTCTCAACTCTGGTGGTAAGTTTAAATCTCTCAAAGAGCGCGGTTCTATTAATTTTCCTTTTCTTTGTCTCTTAATTAGTAGTTTTGACATTTTTTTGTTATTTGAGATGAAATAATTATAGGCGTACCGGATATTTGTTCTTGATAAATTTTATATGGATCTTTGTGATCTTTTGCAGCTTTTTTGATATTTTCTTTAATTTTTTTACATTCAGTTTTGATTGGATCTGGACCGTGAGAGTGCTCTTTGAGGGGCTATATTATGTCCGAAAATATTTCAGCCAATATTTTCGGACATTTTACGCGCTCCCTGCTCTTTTAATACACAAGAGTTATTTTTATGTGTTCATTGTTTACAACAATAGTTCTAAAAGTCACGCCACAGTTTTTGGAACATATCCAATAATATACTTCGGTGTTATCTCGTTTTCGCGTATTTTGTTTATTTAACATAGACTCATAATTATTGACATTTAGCATAACTTTATTGTGTATTGTTGTAACACATTTAATAACACAAGACATTTCAACAGTCAACTAACAAACACTATAGGTAGGTACACTTAGTTACACGGTTTCTCGCACACTGATTAACGGATGCCAAATTTTTGGTCTCGGTATCAAAGGCACCGCATAATATAGGTACAATGTTCACTGCACACAATGTTTCATTCAATAAAATGTAATCTCGATTATCCGATATCGTTGTAGTCATTGGAGTGATGACTACACACTTCTATACATGTATACATTTAATATGGCTGGTTAATCGCTCGATCATAAAAGACGTATAATATCTATTATCTGGCTTTTTAACAAATTATTAGGTGAATTATATCTGTGACTATGAACGATATTCGTATGATACTCGTTATTATGTTAAAATAGGAAAATATAACCTTCGTACATAATACTTTTCGAACACAAGTCCATTCGAACAGATTGGTTCGAACCACGATTAAAGATATAATGGTTGCCCAACGAGCATGGAATACATGTCTTTAATATTACTCTCATGATAAGAACAATTCTGCAGCGCTCTATAACAGCAGTGGAATATTTATGTACTATTGTACTATATTAATATAATAATATTACACCGTTTTCGCAATTTACAATAATTTACAAAATGGGCATGGTCGTGAATCTGAAATTTTTATTTTTATTTAATGTTGTATATATACTTATCTATGGTTTTAGTGTTTTACAGGATTCCTTGTCCAGATACCCATGTGTGTAATATGTCTTCATTTTTAAAATGGTATTGACATATCCTAGATTTGTCTCTTAATGTAAAGCCTAAAGCTTTCTCCCATTTAACCTTCAAGGAAATTTCCTTAGGTACTCCAAACGTACTGAGGTTTAAACCTTTATAAGAGCAGAAAGATAAACAACACTTCATTATTTTCTTTGTAAAACAAAATACCTATTATTATGTAAAAATACTTAAAAAATGTGCATGAAATAATTATTTTTAAAATTTTAAAAATAATCACAATTAAAAATTAAAATATAAATTTATATTATCCCATCTTTGGCCCTTTCACTCAAAGGTTCACAACTAATTATATCTTTAATCGTGATTTTAATCAATGGTTATGGTAGTTGTGTGCTTACTGCTTATAAAGTTTAAATTATGCGGGAATATATTTTTACATAATATTTTAATAAAAAATTATTATCAAGGATAGAGAGCGCACTAAGTTAGTTCAGCAGCTGATTCTGAAAGTAATTTCAATTGCCATGTGATATCGCTTGTGACATAGCCTGTCGGGCAACCATTATATCTTTAATCATGGTTCGAACACTCAATTCGAACACATACATTCGTACATAATACTATTCGAACACATTTCCATTCGAACAGATTTGTTCGAACACTCTTCATTCGAAAACAATTCATTCGAACACTCGACTAGTTCCCGCCACAGAAATACATAATCTGTGAAAATTTCAACTTTCTGACTTTCGTGGTTCATGATATACAGCCTGGTGACGGACGGACGGACATCGGAGTCTTAGTAATAGGCTTCCGTTTTGATGAAATTATTCTTATGAAACTTTAGTAACGAAATATAAAGAAAAATATCCAGAAGCCACTAAAGAAGATGTTAAGAAAAAAATAATGCATTAAGAACAAATTGGAGTAAAGAATTCGAAAAGGTTAGTACACGCATATATTATATACATAACTTTATTATAGACTTATAGTATCTATTTATAATGATGTCTGATATACAAAATGTTCAAGATTCAAATCTATATGCCCAAGTTTAGATGATATAATGTTAGCAAAATTTTATATACCGTAATTGTGGGTGAATAGAAACAAAATTTCGAAATAAGTTTCATTGACCAATAACTACGGTCTAAGTATAACTATTTTTATAAGTTTTTGATGTATTACATTGGTTATGTTATGAAGAATCGAATTCAATTGATACATTTTTACCTCCATAATAATTGTCGATAGGAAAATTGATAAGAGTAAAAATTATTTTACCTCCAAAAAATGTGTATCAACTTTGTTATCATGGTTCTCATGAAAGAATTGTGATAACTCCAAAATTTTTTTTTCACTTCTCAGCGTTGTCGCGGAGAATTAATTAACGTAAGTATCAATCCTGTTTAATGAATTGCTGATTTTTATAATTTTTTTTAATCAAAACATTTTGTTTTCCAGGTGAATAGAAACATGCCAAAAGTATATAAGCCAGATCCGCGCGGCAAGCGTTATCAAAAACCTAACAAATCTGATTTAGCTAATGCTGTTGCTGCTGTCAAACTCAAGAAGATGTCCTACAGAGAAGCTGAGTCAGTTTACGGTATCAATCATTCAGTTATTTACAGACATGTTAAAAACCCGGAGATCAAAACACAAGGAGGCCAAACATCACTTTCTAGAGTGTACCACCATCTAACATATTAAATTACGATGAAACAAACTTAATAGATGACCCCGGTCGTCGAAAAATTATAACTAAACGTGGTACAAAATATCCAGAAAGGGTAATGAATAGTAGTAAAACATCAAATTATGTCATGTTTGCTGGTACGGCAGATGGTATATTGCTCCCACCTTTTACTGTTTATAAGGCAAAAACAATATCTGACAGTTGGCGCTTAGGTGGTCCAAAAGGATCAAGATATGCATCAAGCCAATCTGGATGGTTTGACAGTTACTCATTTGATGACTGGATTAAAAGTATTGCTATACCATACTTGAAAAAATTACCTGGGAGAAAGATATTAATTGGTGACAATTTATCCAGTCACATTTCAATGGAATCAATTAAAGCTTGTAAAGAACATAATATTTCATTTGTTTTTTTACCTGCAAACTCTACTCATTTTACCCAGGCACCCAGCCACTTGATGTTGCCTTTTTAGGCCACTGAAGTGTCATTGGCGTATTATAATGGAAAACTGGAAAAATGGGGATGGAAGGAATGAGTGTTCGGTGCCTAAAGATCGTTTTCCACGACTTCTCAATATTTTGATGAAAAAAATATCAGAAAATTGTGCTAATAATTTAAAATCGGGTTTCGAAAAATGTGGAATGTACCCTCTAAATCGTGACAAGGTATTAAATATGTTGCCAGTAGAATATGATGACCCAGATGTTTCTGATCATGTCAACAGTAGTTTAAAAGAATTTTTAAAATCTATGAGAAGTACTGAAACAACGAATGTGCGTCAAAAGAGAAAAAAATTGAATGTTCAACCAGGACAAAGTGTTGAGGTTGTGAGGAGTTCTAATTCTGAACATGGAGATCAATCTGATTCCTCCAGTACAGTTGACCAACCAGAAGATGTTGTTGATTCTATTATATCCCCAGTAGTAATTTCAGATGATAGCTCAGATGAAGAAGATGATGGTGATGTAAATATTGAGACTTAACCACATGTTATAAAATACAATCAACGTTTTGACAATGTCCATCCTATTTCTCAAATGACTGATGTAAAAGATGGAATGTGGTTACTAGTTAGTTTCGAGATCATATCAAAAAAAGCAACAACTAGTAAGAAAATCTATAAGTATTATGTTTGTAAAGTTTTAAAATGTGATCATGGTGAGTTTATTGGTACATTTTTAAGAAACATCAACACAAGAGACCATTTTGGATTTATATATGGGTTCCCAGATGTTACAGACGAATTTACATTTAGTTTCTTATTTCAACATGTTTTCCGTCCAGTGGTCCCAGGCAATGTGGAAAATTCCATTTTTGTTCGAAATCTTTTGCTGTTTCCACCCATTCTGCTTCCGTTTATGGAATATTTGAACAAAAAAAGGTATTAATTATTTTTTTATTTAGGTAACTGAAGAATTGTTTACAATTCCAAAAGTAAAAATCAAAAATCAAAAGCATCAGTCTCCGTTATCTTGTAAGCGTTTACGTCAGACGGAAGATAGTGATGAAATGAAAATAGCTATTGCTTGGGCATCGGAACTTCAAAAAATGAACGCCCAACAACAAACGTTTGCAAAAAAGGCTATCAAAAACATTTAATTTGAAGGTCAAATGGGAACATTACATCGAAATCTAATGATAATACAATTATTATACATTCAAGTAAATTATTACGAAATTATGATAAATAAAGATGTAGCATCCATTCGCAAAAAATTCCCATAGTCATCTAATTCAGTCATTCGTAGAAAGTTCAATTATTTTTCATGACTATATTGCGCTCTCTGTTTATACCACTCTTTCATCCAACGTCGTCTTTTATTTTGTTTGTGTTTTTTTTTGGTTCAATCCAAATGGTACTGCGATGCAAATTAATTCGGTATCGTAGAGATACATATTTAAAACTACAATAATTTATAATTTATAGCAGATGGTAAATGCTGCCTTTCAACTTGATTACATATAAGATAAAAACAATTTAATACATTATAAAATAAAAAAACTTCAAACATCAGAATAATTATATAAGTACATTATATAATATAGAAACAAATTAATATGTACTAAGTACAAATAATCAGACTTGATTAACATATATGATAAAAACAATTTAATACATTATATAAAAAAAAAAATGAAACAAGTCTTATACTCTTTGACTTATAGTCATACATAATTGAATTTTAAAATACTTAATTACCTACACTTTTTTAGTACCTACAAATAATAAATTAGTCTTATAACTTGTATATTTTATTATAATTCAAATCAATTATATCTTTGTTTATAATAATTTCAAAACAATACTTTTTTTTAGAGGTCAGCATATTTTTTTAATGTAAAATTCCTTGCAATGTTTCAGTTGAAAGTTTATTTCTAATTTTTGTTTTGTTTAAATTAACTGTACTAAAAATTCTTTCAGTAGAAGCACTACTATGGGGTAATGTTAAAATAAACAAAACAAATTTGTTGATATTTGGATATAGTTCAGTACCATCGCATTTTGTCAACTTCTTCACATCTCCCCAAAACTTTACAATATCATTGTTGTTCGCCTTAATTGATGTATTTCTAAGCATCTTCCATTCCATATCGATTTCATTAAGGTCAATATTTAACTTCGAAACAAAATTCATTGCAGCTGGTGTAATTGAAATAATGTAATTCATATTTATAGGATCCATAAATTGCAGGTTTTTTAATGTTTGGACATACTGGTTTTAAAGGAAACCGTTAATATAATTGATATACTCCTTCGACATAAAAATCAAGACATTTAGTTAAAAAAATTGATTTTTCTTCTCTGGATACAATATTTGAACTAAATCCGCCATACATTTGCCACCTACATACTCGTTTTTATGGTTCGTGGCATTAAAGAAAATTTAAGCAACCTGTTGCTTACTCTTTTTGTAATGGAGCAACTAAACAATATGATCTACTTCAGCAATTGAAACAAGTAAATTTATTAAATATTTTTATCAATTAACTTTTTAAATTAGTATTATTGAATGTGGCTAGCGGGTTGTGGCAACTGTAAGTGACCAAGGGAGTGCTAATGTTGGAGCCATCAAGATTCTAAATCAACAAACAAGAGAATTGTATCTTAAAAACCAATTACCATATGATGACAGTTTTTATGATATTGAGTTGATGAATAAGAAAAGATTAAAATTGGTACACATATATGATGTTCCACATTTAATGAAATGTGTACGGAACAATTTAATTACTAAGGATTTAGTTTTTACTATTGATGATGAAGTGAAATGTGCTAAATGGTCACACTTAGTCGACTTATATAGCGTAGAAAATGCTATTCCTGACTGCAAAATGTTGCCACGTCTTACTGACCATCATATTATACCAGAGAAAATCTTAAAAATGAAGGTCAAGAATGCTACACAAGTTTTTTCACAACGGGTGTCTTCGACGATGAACTTTTTAGCAGGTAAAAATTATTTAAAGTTTATTTTCTTATAACTGTTTATAACTTTAAATATTTTTTTTGTTTGCAGCTCGTAATATTATAACCAGATTTAAATATATAAGGCAAAACATACCTCATTCATCATTAGGACCCGAGCAAGATGGGAATTGTAGTACGGATTCCATTGACCAGACTGCGCAGCCAAGAGGCTGTTAACAAAATAGAGGTCACCAGCATTGACCACTTGCTCGACAAATCACAGAAGAAAAGGGTCGCGAAGTTTTTCCGGCAAGAGGAGGCCAAGCGAACCAGGTAAGAGGCTGAACCCACTTGGAACCTACCACCAACTATTCAAGCCAGACGGCGACCATCGGCAACCGGCATGACGTGGAATGACTTCATAAAACGTTGGGAGAAAAGTCCAGAAGAGACTTATATTCACACACCGGATATTCCAGTCAAAGAGGTCACCACCCTCGAAATCCAAACGGAAACAGGGGCTTCACCCTCACCGAACCCTAGTGAGGCTGAGTCAGACATAGTTGTGGAAACCATAAGAGGGATGGTGAAACACCACCATGGTTACTATACGGACATTCGTCGGAGCTTACTAGCCACGCAGAACTGCATCAAAGACTTTCAAGGGATCTCCAAGACCCGGATGAAGAGATTACTGCACCGGGAACAGACTCAGCATGAAAAAACATTGGGAAAATTCACAGAACATCAGTTAAAGAAAATTAACCACATCATAATCTCTGGGAACAAAGTTTAAAAGTACTTAGTACTATGAGTTTTGTAATGGAACAAAACAGAGTCACCAAACACGTGGTGCACTCTAGTGTTGTCCCATAACCCAAACAAACACAACGACCGCCGCGCGCTCACGCAATGACAATACGCCGCCGGCCGACTGTACAACGCAGCATACGTGAATAAATCACAAAACAGATAGCGCTGCCGCGCACCGGCTAGAAAACCGGGACGCCGCCCGCTAAGAAAATTGAGTTTTCACCAAGAAAGAAACAAGTTAGAAGTTCGGGAGAAACATATTTGTAATCACCGCCTTCAATACTTCAAGTTACGTCCTTACACGGATGTCAACAATCAACAGCAACCATCAAAAAGATAGAAAAGGTCAATCACAATTTTGACTAATTTTCATCGGGACCAGCCGCCATTGTACCACAGAAATACAGGCCGCTGGCCACCGATTCACAACAGTCTTCTCCCCGCTGTAACGCTGGAAATCTGGTACCGGACAATATTTATATTGTAAGACGGATCAGGTTTTCTCGTTAAACACCAGCACACTGCCCCGAGACTCGGACGCCGGACGGTAACCCCGTAATACGGTGATTCAAATAGTCTTACCCGGCAATTCCCTGTCATCCGCCACCGTCCGAGTGCGTCGTGAGACAGTATCGTGTACGTGTTTCTTCGCTGAGCCGCCACCGTTCGAGCCGAGCCGCCAGTCGATCATTAACCGCCGTGCACACGTCATTGTCCGGGAAGATTTGCCGTCAACGTTCCGTCTGCCGTCCTATTGCCGCCGTCAGAGCTGAGCCAAATCATTGAGGGAGACCGTTATTGAGAACGGGCCACTTGCCATAAGTCGCATACGTCAGGAGGTTACCTCACCAGGAACCCCTGACCTCTATCCGCACCCACCGATCGTGGAAGCCGCCGCCGTTCGAGCCGAAGCCGCCAAACCACACCAACTTCCGAACCACCACAGTGAGTTCAATGTACGATCCCCCCCTTTTTATGTGTTATCCCCTAAATACACTATTTTCATTGTGAACTCGTAAGAGTATTATAATACATACCATATATTGTATATATAATATATATAAGACATACTGTACAAAATCAAATATTAATTAAAATGTATGTTAAAATATAATAAGTATTGAAATAAATGTTGAAAAATTATACAACAAGAACAGCGTTCAATATTTCATTACAGTTTTGTTGGTAAAAATGGGAAGAAAGTGTCAGTTCCAACAATACGTAATTGGATGACTACGATAAGATGTATGTTCCTTTGGATTATTTTATTTATTCACAAAACTATAAATAATATTATGATTTCAGCATTTCAAATATTGTACAAAGAGTTGAGTTCAGTCGGTATTAAATCGTTATTGCCACGTAATATAAACCAAGATTCACTTGAATGTTTTTTGGGAGCAATTAAGAACGTTGGATCAGCAAATCCTAATTGCAATGCCTTTACTTCAGCCTACAAAACTCTCATTTTAAATAACTTGGTATCTTCGCATTCACCAGGATCCAATTGTGAAGAAGATTTTAGTGAAGGAAGCTTGGCTTCTTTCAAAAATGTATTCCTCTCTGCACAGAAAAATACACCAACCAGTGATAAAATCATAGCTGCTGACCTTCCAGTGACAATAAACCAACTACCAGATTATGCATCTTACCTTCAAGGACCAACACATTCTTACATTGCTGGGTTTATTATAAGAAAATTAAATAGAGAATTTTTAAAAAATTGCAAGCGTTGCCTAAGTTAAATATGCTCCACTAGACCATCTAAACACCATCAACTCATTGCTGCTCGAGAATATCGTCTGAGTCAAAATTCATTGAAATATCCATCACTAACATTTCAAATAGCCATAGAACAAATATTAAATTTCATTGGAGAAAATATGTCTAAAATCTGTCATCATGAAAATATTTATCTTTCTCTTACAAACACAATTTCTTCACTTTATAATTTCAATGAAATACTGCATTGCCAAGATCATGACCAACTTTTTCAGACAAAAATGATTGGTATTGTTGTTAAGATGATGATCAACCACTATTGCACCGAAATCAACAGAAATCTTCATGGGAAAAGAAAAATTCTTGACTCAGAAAAAGATCTACTAAAAAAAATGGTTCACGCGTGGTATATGTCTCACTCAAAACAAAGACGAGTACAAGGAAAATTTAATCTTATACCCTGAATTTACTATATTAATTGTACAATTTTTTATTTACACTATTACCATTGATTTTATAATATACAGATAAGTCATTCTATTGTTAATATTGGCAGTGGTTAATTGCATTCAGCCGCTGCCACTATTAATTAGGCTTATCTGTATTAAAATGACATTGATTATAAAATCAATGTTATTACTTACAATTATTAATTTTTTAGTTTGTTATTTGGCTTAGTTATCAACTATATTCTTTAAAAATTAAAAATTGTTTTTATATTGTTTTTACATTGACTTTAAAAATAACCTGATTGACTAAAAATGTATTATTATATTTGTAAATTTTATGTTTTAAACGTGTGCATTATACTATTACAAATCTTTGATAAATTTTAATAAACTTCAATAAAAAATATTGGTTTTATGAATTACACTGATTGTATGCATTAAAAAGTATATTATATTCACTGAAAATCGTGAAAATATGTAAGAAAATTATTTGCAATTGCGTAATATGGTAAAAAATTTCACAAATTTTATTCAATAGGTAACTATTATTATTAAATTGAATTTACGTTTTATCTAATAATTTTGACAAAATGCCAAAACTAAACATTTAAAGGTACCTACTTTCTAACACTGCACAGGGTTTCTCACAGAGTAGGATAGGATAGGATTGTTAGGTTAGGAACGACAGAACTTCCCGGGTACCAGGTTCAATACAATCCTCTGATAATAAATAATTTGCGTTTTTTTTTTTCAATGTTTCGGTAATATTATTTAAATTATCATGGATAGTTCATCGTACAGTCCCCGGGAGCGCTAACCGTAGTCCAAATATTTAACACAGGAGTTGCCTATCTATTATAATATTTACATGTCTATGGAGAGGGTGAGCTGCCGGCGGCCGGCACGCGTCTTGCGCGACTTGCCTTCCCGTCCCGCCTTGTGACTTTGTGGCGTGGTGGGGAGTTGGCGATGTCGCGCTCGTAGCCCGTGGTGGCGGTTAACAAAAGCGTAGACCGATCGCTGCGGTACCTGTACTTTGTACTTTCTGCCGCTGCGTACCATGTCATGTTGTTTATGGACAATGGACTATGGTAATAGTATCTATATAGTATATATCACACCAAAAACACTTCGTTGTTTTAACTCCGTGTAAAAAAAAAGCTAAGATAAAAAAAAATTTAGTCATGATTAAATCTTTAAAAGACGTGATATAATATGGAATTTAAGTAAAATTACATTTTATAATATTACAAATACCTATGATGAGTATGACAAATAAGATCAATTGTAATGTTAAATACTTAGTCAACATATTGTTGATACATTATTAATTACTGTAAATACTGTAGTGATTATTTAATTGTATTTATTTAAGTATACTTCTGCGTCCTGCCAAATAGTTAAACATAATATGTTGACCAAGTATTTAACATTATACAATTGATCTTATTTGTCATCACAGGTATTTGTAATATTATAAAATTTAATTTTACTTAATTTTCATATTATATCACGTCTTTTAAAGATTTAATCATGAATAAATTTTTTTTACACGGAGTTAAAACGAAGTGTTTTTGGTGTGATATCAGCTATTTTTTTTATGAAAAAGTCGCGATTTTATTTTACTGTATGTAATAATAGTAATCCGTAATAGCATATGCATCGTTGGCCTCCTGTTGTAATATCTTTTTTTCTATTTTAGTTTTTTTTTTTCTAAAACTAGAATATAAATATTATATCGTTACATCTAACCCATATTTTTTTTTTTTTTTTTTATTCAGCATTTAAGCTTCGACAGCATAGGCCATTAGCTTTTGAGATATAAACAATTACATATAAACTTTTGAAGAGAAAAAAAAATTTTTTACAATATTAGTGGCTTATTTCTAATTACTATCATATATTATTTTCTAATTTTGATGCCTTAAGGATTAAGGAATGATAAGATGTTTTCTGGTAGGCAGTCGGGACCGATAATCTCGTACAGGTTCGATGGTATGTTATGCATTTTTCTTTCTTCCTCGTTGGCTCTGCACTCGGTAAGCAGGTGTTTTACAGGGAGGGTCGTTCCGCATGCGGTGCATTCCGTTGGTGTTTGGTTGTTCATTAGGTGTCCATGTGTGAGGTGGGTGTGACCGATTCTTAGTCGGGTTATTATTATTTCTGTTTTTCTGGTTGTTTTGTTAGTGGCCAGGGATTTATATTTTGTTTTTAACCCATATTTTATTATTATGTTTAATAACTGATGTGTAATGGGCTTAAGACTTGAGAGTTATAGATGGACCATGATGCCAAATCACAGAATTAAGAGCATATGATTTGCCATCGACCTTAATTGTTGCCACGGGTACTGAATTAATCACCAGATTGCCTATTTTATTTTACTATTGTCCCAAGTTTTCAGCATAATAATATGATACCGTCGAGGTGGATCACGAATTCACTAAACAATCACAGTCGTCGAGTGGTCAGAAAGCACCTATAATCTATATTATAATCGGTCTTAAAAGTACTTGAACATTTTTGCTTATAACTTATAAACTATCTAACTAATCTGCTAGCGAATTCTCCTGTTCCCATCTGCACAATATTTATGATCGATTGATACCTCATATGACTTCATATATTCAGCCGTTTGCCCTGTAGAGCTTGGCAAAGAATTGCCTTAAATTAGGACGATTTTTCAATGTTAAAACTCGGTATCCTGTTATACGTTAGTGGCTACTCCGTTATTTTTTTTTACTTAGCTTCTCGCCACTACCGTCGCTCTGGATTAGCTACGTTCTAAGGGCGAGAAGGTGAATTTATAAAA